TTTCCAACTCTTCAATTCTATGATTCTATTTGTGCAGGAAACCTACATTCCCAGTGCAACATTATGATCGCATAGCCACAATTTACCCAAAGATGTGAGTCAATGTTTCAGTATGGACCTACATTTGCTCTCCAATTCTGCCATCTCCTCAGCCCTGTCCTCTACCTCTGCTGTCCCTTCCAAGCTTGATGAAATGACAATAGAGAGCTCAACAGGTCTCGTATACTGATGTCCCCCAATCGTCCAGCTCCACCTCCTCTTTGGCCCCCAAAGAGGGAACATCTCCAGCTGCTTCTGGAGATGGAGAGGTTAGAGCTCCACCCTCAGGCAATGGGTACCATTCTGGTGGCACTGTGTAATATGAAAGTACAGTAATCACAACAATAATGTGGGTGCTTGCCTCTGAAGTTCCTTCTCTCCCTTGCTCTGCATAGACAGTTGCCATGCAATGCACTGATCAGTTGGGCAAGCAAGCCAAAGTGCCCTTCTCTGCACAGAATTTAAATGTTCCCAATTCTGCAGAAAAGTATAACTGGGAAGATATATTTCCTGTTCCACCACCTCTACATAGGTCAACCAGGGTGCTGACAAGGACCCAGAGGAAAATTCCCATGAGAGACAACAGGAATCCATCTGATTTCACACCTTCCTGGGGCCAACATTTTACTAAATTCTGCTCCCCTACAGAGAGCAGAGGCCATCACTAGCTTAATCCTATCTAGATAGTGATCTGTCCAAGACATGGGCACTATACTGGGATGCTTCACCTGTGCATCACCTGTCCAGGAAAGAAAGCAAATTGAGATCATGAACTGCCACAAATGTTTCCCACCTAGCCCCAAGCATAGACCCTGATCACAACAGAACATTCCCATCCCTCAAACACACACACAATTCTGGATCTCCAACTAATCTTATCCAAGCAGAGGAAAAAGGGCTGCTTAACCCGATCTTCCTCAGTATGAACAGCAGCAGAAGTTCTGCAAGAGTTCCGTATGCCACAAAAGTCCCCCTGCTCCTATACAACCCCATTGTTCATTCCTGTGCCAGCCAGCAAGTTAGCAAGTGGGAATGAGCAACTGACACACCTAAGATGTATCTATTTTTGTGCCAAATTAGTCAGTGAGAGAGATGCTGCTGGCCCTCCAGCTATTGGTAGAATATGGCTAACGGCACAATCCCATGCACTCAGAAACAAGTTCTCCTGAGTTCACTGGAGCTTGTTTCCCATAAGAAGGTGTGTGTGGCTGATTACTCTGTGGGAACACAGGATCTGAGGGGGAGGAGTTACAGCTGAGAAGGGAGTTAGCAACCAGCAGCAGTCACACTTAGCTCAGTGCAGATCCTGGGAGCTCACAAACAGGGGCCTCCAGCTATTGGTAGAATATGGCTAACGGCACAATCCCATGCACATGTCCACTCAGAAGCAAGTTCTCCTGAGTTCACTGGAGCTTGTTTCCAGTAAGGAGGTGTGTGTGGCTGATTACTCTGTGGGAACACAGGATCTGAGAGGGAGGAGTTACAGCTGAGAAGGGAGTTAGCAACCAGCAGCAGTCACACTTAGCTCAGTGCAGATCCTGGGAGCTTGCAAACAGGGGGGTTTAGGCCTCCCCCTTAATCTCCCCTGCTAGAGTTCTGTCTCTTGGTGAGCATAAGACCCAGGGGCGCCGACTTGTAAAAAATATTGGGGGGGGGCCCAGTGGCGTAGCGTGGGTTGTCAGCACCCGGGGCAAGGCAAGTAATTTGTGCCCCCTAACCCGTGGATTTTAGCACTTGAGTGCGAGCGCCCCCCCCAGATGTTGCGCCTGGTGCGGCCGGCCCCCCTGCACCCTCCACGCTACGCCACTGGGAACAGCTAAGGGAGCTGGGCATGTTTAGCCTGGAGAAGAGGAGGTTAAGGGGTGATATGATAGCCATGTTCAAATATATAAAAGGATGTCACATAGAGGAGGGAGAAAGGTTGTTTTCTGCTGCTCCAGAGAAGCGGACACAGAGCAATGGATCCAAACTACAAGAAAGAAGATTCCACCTAAACATTAGGAAGAACTTCCTGACAGTAAGAGCTGTTCGACAGTGGAATTTGCTGCCAAGGATTGTGGTGGAGTCGTCTCCTTTGGAGGTCTTTAAGCAGAGGCTTGACAACCATATGTCAGGAGTGCTTGATGGTGTTTCCTGCTTGGCAGGGGGTTGGACTCGATGGCCCTTGTGGTCTCTTCCAACTCTATGATTCTATGAGGCTGTGTCAGATAGGGTGGAAATTTCATCCTTTCTGTCCCTCACATGGGAAACCGAAAAACACCCTCTCAGAATTAACTAGGGACCAGGATTACCAAAGCCCCATTCTCCCTGCAACCGCTTGGGTATCTGGTGGGCACCCAGTGAAATCATTTCCAACCACAAAGTCCAATACAAAGTATTTTTGTGGTAGGGAAGGAGTTTCAGCTTTGCCTTGTGGGCTGTTCCTCCAAGCTGTCTTTGTGGTGCGTAACAGCCTGGAAGAGAATCAGCGAGAGGATCTTTAGAATTCAGTGCAAATTGAATTTCACCGGAGTAGCTTGGAGGTGCTGGCAGCCCGCTTCCCTCCCCCCCACCCCGCTTTTTCGTTTTCTAAACAAGTGATCGGACTCTTCCCCTCCCCTCAGCCCCATGAAACAAGTCCCCAGCACGAAAAGAAATAATAATTAAAAAAAAAAAAGAAGATAACAAGGACGGGTTGTTTTCCAGAGCGAGGTGGAAGCCGCCCATCACAAGGGCAGAATCTCTGCGGTGCGTAATTACGCGCGGCTTGGAGAGCTCTTTTCCCCCCATTACCCGGGCCCTAGCGGTGCCCGCGGCAAGGTGAGGTTCTCCCTCTCCGGCAGGCGCCTCTGCGCGCCTTCACCCCATTCTCCAGCCCCGCCACATCTGGGAACATCATTAAGGAGTCGCCTCTGCAGCTCAGGAAGTTTTCACACTTCACGTTTCATTAAACGCAGGTCTTCTCGGATTCCTTGGGAAAGGGAGAAGCGGGAGAGAAAGGGGAGAGGCGCTGGGCGCGGGTCGGGGGAGAGCGCCTGATTTGCAGCTGTTGGGCTTTCAAAGCCAAATAAAACGGCCAGTCTGCGGAGCGCAGCCGCAGCGGCGGTGGGGGGCGCGCGCGCGCTAGGGCGCAAGGCTGGCGGTGGCGGCGGGGAGCCCGGCGGAGGAAGGAACTTGTCCCTTCCCTCTGGACTCGCGCCCCCCGCAGATGTTGCGCCCGGTGCGGCAGGCACCCCTGGCACCCCCCACGCTACGCCACTGGGGGGGCCCATACCGGGGTCCTGCCCCGGGAAGTTTTCTAATTTCCCCGCCGGGCGGGGCCGCTGCAGAAGGGTGAGTGGCGAGGGCGGGACGGGGCCGCGCGCTCCTTTCCTCGGCTGCCCTCGTCCCGCGCCTTGGCTCCCGCGGCCGGCGAGGGGAGCCCGGGCCGCGCGCGGCTGCTGCTGCCGCCGCCGCCTCTCCTGGGGGCGCCGCCTCCCCGGGCGGGAACGCTGCGGGTGCGCGAGGGAGGAGGGCGGCCGCCGGGGGCTGGGAGAGCCGGGCTGCCATGGCCGAGAGGGCTGCTCTGCCGGGCGCCGCTGAATATAACTAATAATTTTTTTAAATTATTGGGGGGGCTGAGCCCCCCCAATAAAATTTTTGAGGGGGCTCGGGCCCCCTCAGGCCCCATGGAGTCGGCGCCTATGATAAGACTAGAGGCATGGAAGGCGAGGGAGCTGCTACAGTGACCTGTAACAGCTGTGCCATGTTTGTCATTCTGCCAGAGAACAAGCAACAGTACACTTTGTAGCAAGTGCAAGCTGGCTGTCTGCTGCAAGAGAAGGTGCGGTAACTTGAGGCCCGCCTAGCCACACCTCAAGCAGCAGGACAGAGTTGGCTGATAGAGCTGAGTTGACTGAGACTGAGCACCAAGATAGAAGGGGTGGCCCCAGCATGGAGAAAGATTGCCCATTGCAAAAGTCTAACCCCTGGAGGAATGTAGGGGGGGTTACTAATACATTTAGACCAGAGCAGACAATACATATATATTGCCCAGTCCTATTTGCTGGTTAAAAAAATGCCTGAGTTGGGTACGGAGTTGAGTCTGGCCCACTGCTTTCCCTTTGCACAAATCAATGCCAACTGTAGCAACCCCACTCACAATTTCACATGTTAAAGGAAATGTCTGTTTAGTTTGTCCTAAGCCTATATGGTCTAACTTGTCCATTTTCAAAGTTAGCCTTCACAATGTGCTTGAGTCATTGGAGGCCACTAGCAGAGACTCCCCCAAACAGCTCAGTGATCGGGCAGGAATCTAATGAATAAGCTATCCTGGACCCTTGCAAATCAATACAAAACCCTGTACACATGCACATATTGTGCAGACACACACTGTTCAGCCACAGCTGAACCCATCACAGCTTACCAGTAGTCATTCACACAGAGTGTTAGGCATATCTGGGGTGGGTGTAACATGTGTTGCCATCTTACTATGCGACTCACCTACTTGGAAGCAACTTCTTTGCAGGAATTTCACCATCTGTAAAGCAGGTGTTGACAAGTGGTGCGGGCATGGGGAGAGCATGAAAAGAAAGGGGGCTGGGTTTTGTCTGTCTTGTTTTGTTTGTTTGCCAGGGATTCCTAGAACCTGGGCCCTGAAAACCATCAGGTCACACAGGAAAGAGTACCTCTAAGAAAACGCGGGCAGCAGGTACTCTGCCAGCTCCTAACAGCCGCCTCAGGCATCGCCCCACAGACAGACGCCTATTAAGGGTTAGGGCGGAGGAAAGTGGCTCCCTCGTCAAAGGAGGCGTTCGGTCCCGCGACTCTTCCTCCAAAACGTCCCGTCTGCTCCACCTTCTCCGTGGAGGAGGGAACCACCCCGTCGTCGTCTGAGAGAAAACCGCTCAGCTGCTGCGACCTGCTGCGGTCCCTCAGGCAGGCCTGCGGCTCTACTCGCGCCTGTTTCTGCCCGGTTTGGCGCGGCACGCGGCCCCCTTCGCCCGGCGGCCATGTGACCACGCACACAGGCGCACACTCCGCCCGCTCTCGATGTGCGGCGCCGAAGCCCTTCCATGGTTCTCGGCTCTGGGGCTGCTGCTGCTGCGCCTGGCCGTCGTTCCCGCCCCTGCTGAGCCGGTGGCGTCAGGTGAGTCCCGGCAGAAGGGAAGGCGCGTCGCGCTTTGCGCTTCCTCGCCTGTTTCTGCCATTCTGTTCGCGCTCTTTCAAGGCTTCGTCTGCAATCTCGGCGAAGGTTGCGAGGTCAGCTGGCAGAATAATAACCATGGCGAGGAAAGTGTAGCTTTCTTCTTCTTCTTCTTCTTCTTAAGAATCCTGTCCTGTGGGCTCTTTGTGGTCCGATGTTCTGGACTGAGCTATGTGCCTGGGAGTAGTTTGATTCTGGCCTCGGTTCTGGAAGCTGCTTAAATGCCGCTTTTCCAATTTGGAGCGGATAAACAAGAGTGCTTCTGAGCACTTGTGGAGTATCTTCGACACCGCGCGGGTTACAAGTGCTGTGCAAGCCTTCAAAGCACAGGAGAGTCCTGACGGGACAGAGAGCTCTGAGAGGAATATATTCTCTTCCGCTCTCTGCCCCCTTCTATTCCTCAAGGTTTCCTACATTCATGGAAGTCAACTCTTAGAGGCCGAGATCCCTTCTGCTCCACAGTAAAATATTTGAGGGAGCCCCCCCCCCCAGTTGATGGGCATTGCCATTCAAATGGTGTGTGTGCACTGCATCTTGTAGTTGATTATGTGGGGTGGGGCTTACCTGTCTCCCCCCCCCCCAATATTTTATTCAAGTTGGCACCCTTGCCCAGATTGCTGGATATACAAAAACAAGTACTGCCTGTTCTTTTAAAGTTAACAGGTTATTTTTATGCATGCCTACTTAGAAGTAAGTCCCACTGAATTAACTAGATCTTAAGTGTCAGGGGTCCCTTTACCTTTACCCTTTTAAGTGTAAGTCTATGGGTTTGCAACTGGAATAGGTTTACGTCCCAAGTATGCATGCCAAAGGCACAAATGCAGTAAAGTTTCTGTAGTTATTTGGAGTTGTAAAAACTATTGTTTTTAGTGTGTCTGTGTGTGTGTGTGTGTGTGTGTGTGTGTGTGTTTTGAATCCTCTCTCCTTACTGAATACTCTTTGGCACTCCCGCTGTCCTCTCTTGAAACCTCTCTTAAAATCTGTAAGAAATGCATCTGGCACCTTAATAAAAAATGCTGGGAAATATGGTTCCTGCGTTACTACACAGCACAGTGTGTCTCAGTGAGATGGAAATTATACATCTTCTTTGCTGCTTTGGCTGCTAAGAGTCTAAATATTCATATTTTGCTATTCATATTGCAGTACAATGCATGCCTATTTTGTCAAAAGTCAAATTTTGAGGAAGCAGGGTCCATGGTCTGGTCAGGTTTCTGTTTTACACAGAAAAGTAGGAGAGTGAGAGTGAGAGCTTTTCCATCCCTGAGCAAGAGATAGCATTACTTTTGCAACAAGAAATCATATGTAGAGGTGGTGATGTCCTTTTAAGTTGAGTACAAATAGTAGCAACTGGCGTGTTGAGGCAGCTCATATGAATGAATTTACTTTATTATGGTCACAGACCAGCATAAGCGGCAGCTCATATAATCCACACTTTTTTTGTTCAGTAGATGCGAAGGATACTGAGGACACAAATGCCATCTATACCAAAGGAGGGGAAAGTCTGATCTCCACTAAAGGAGCAGGTTACCTGGCCTTTGTTAAATGGACGCGGGTGGTGCTTTGGTCTAAACCACTGAGGTTCTTGGGCTTGCTGATCAGAAGGTTGGTGGTTGAATCTGTGCGACGGAGTGAGCTCCCATTGCTCTGTCCCAGTTTGAAAGCATGCCAGTGCAAGTAGATAAATAGGTACCACTGCGGCCGGAAGGTAAATGGCGTTTCCATGCATTCTGGTTTCCATCATGGTGTCCCATTGCGCCAGAAGTGGTTTAGTCATGCTGGCCATATGACACAGAAAGCTGTCTGTGGATAAACGCCAGCTCCCTTGGCCTGAAAGCGAGATGAACGCTGCAAGCCCATAGTTGCCTTTGACTGGACTTAACTGTCTAGGTGTCCTTCACCTTTTACCTTACGTTTGCGAAGAGAGACCCTCATTGGGTATGAAGTGTGGGTGCTATGCTTCTTTCCTGAGCAAAGTGATAGCAAGAGTCATTACATCACAATGCCAGTGACACATAGATTAGTTTACATGCTACAACTACACCAATCTAACATGGTCATAAAACTGAGGCAGTTTTGGTTGCAATCAGAATCCTGAATTGCCATCAGCCAGAATCCTTGGCAGCTGCCTCTGCAGACAGGGAAAACCGGCCAGCGTTTAAAACTTGTTGGCCTGTCCATCCAGATGATCAGCTTTTCAAAATGCACATTGACAAATGGTGGCATCCTTATTGTCCACACATGTTAACTTGTTTGTTTTTCCCAACAGCATTGCGTTGTACTTTGCCCAGCCCTAGGAATGTTCATTTTGTCTCCAGAAACCTGAAGAATGTCTTACACTGGTTGCCGCCAGAAGGGATTCCTGAGGACAAATTAATTTATAGTGTGAAGTATTTAGTGTATGTTTTGCTGTTGATTTTTCTGTACTACCAATACTAGTTTGTGGGTTTGTTTTTTTAATGGTGCTTTAAATGTGCAACATGCTTCATCGTGCTTTCTTTTGCAGCAGTAACCTCAAGGTTGAAGTTGAAGCTGGCGTAGCTTCATTCAGTAGACCGGCTCCTTTAAAATATAAACAGATTTTGGATTCTGGCAAGACAGTGATCAACAGGAGTCCCTAGCATCTCTGTCTGTCTCCCCCACATGCCCTCTCCTTGCTAGCACCTAAAAGGGAAAAATCACGAGTGGTTCTTGATATTACATGAATTATTGAACGTAAGCATAGCAGTAAGAGGCATTGGATACATTGCACATTTTCAGTATGATAATCCAAAATTAATCACTGGACATTGTAGGGAAACACCCAAGCAACTTTGGTCTGATATGTATGAGCAATTGAATCATAGATTCATAGAGTTGGAAGGGACAACAAGGGTCATCCAGTCCAACCCCCGCAATGCAGGAATCTTTCACCCAACATGGTGCTCAAACACACGACCCTGAGATTAAGAGCATCATGCTCTACCGGCTGAGCTGCCTTACTTTGATTGTTAAACATTTTAACTTGCATTGATTAAATTATATGTATTTTGTTTCAATTCTTGCAAGCCACTGCAACGGCACTGCTTGAAAGTGCCTTATAACTTGAATGAATAGTTCATACTGTCATAATCACTTCAGCACATAGTTAAACTACAGAATTCACTCCCACAAGAAGTAGCGATGGCCACGAACTCAGGTGGATGTTTTTAAAGATTAGACAAATTGCTGTAGGATAAGGCTACCAATTGTTAGTATCCATGATCATAGAATGAGTACTGACATTTTCTCTTTCTATTGACTATTTAAAATTCAGATATGGCACAACTAGATGGATTCAGGATGCAGAATGCAGAAATATCAGTCAGACCTGGTGTGACCTCTCACGTGGAACAAGTGACCATAAGGAGCTATATCATGCCAGAGTAAAAGCTTTTCTGAATGGAAGTTGTTCCAGCTGGACAGAATCTCCTCGGTTTAATCCATTGACAGACAGTAAGGAGACGCCTAAGGAATGCTATGTTTTCATAATAGTATTGAAAGTTTCCAGAGGGCAGATTGCCAGTCAGAACTCATGTTGTGCAACAGACTCCACTAAAATGCTTGCGATAAAATTTGATGTGATGGTTGCTTAAGCAGGCACTAGTTTAAACATGGCTTGAAAACTGCATTTATTATTCTTTCTATATAGCAAAGTGATTAGGGCTTTGATCACAGAGATCCTGCGTCAACACTGGATTTGAATCACAGCTTTGTCATTTGCATGAACAGCCTACTTGTCCAACTTCTTTGAGGTTCACACTGGACTTAGCATTAATTGCATAAAAGCAGGGGCAAACTAGGCTTTATTTAATCCAGCTCAAAGACCCAATTTGGCACCCTCCTCACACGCATTTGCATACAGAGAGAGAGAGAGAGAGAGAGAGAGAGAGAGAGAGAGGCTGGGAGCCTCAGTGGTGCCCCTCTGGAGACTTCACCTGGGGCAAAAAAATAGTCCCTGCCCCCCCCCCCCCAGCTATGGCACTGCATGAAAGCAACTAGCACACACATCTTTGTTATGTGAGTGGTGTAAAGTCTGGCGGGTGGGAGTTTAACTCTTTCTCTTCCATTACACTCCCAACAAAAATCACTTCCCCAAAGTTGTTATTTGCATTTCAGGGGAGCTGTCTTGCTCATGCTTTTTAGCTTACATTGAAGTTGGACTGATTGGCTGCTTTTAATATTATTGGGTGGAATGTGTTTCTAAACCAATATTTGTATTGTATTTTTTTAGGCTGTATTTTGGAGTTTTCATGTTTGTAAACTAGCTTAAGGCTTTTGCCTTTAAAGGCAGCCTAAAAGTATTTTGTTTTTATTTATTTATTTTAAAAAGTTCAAGGGAGTTGATAAGAGTTTGTAATTCACCACAGCTCACCCTGCTATTATGAAAACTGTGATAGCCTGTTGGGCTGTTGATTCTGGGTGCCATGAAAGGGCAATAAATTAAACAATTTATCGTAAGGTTGAAGGGGAGAGAGGTGCTTATGGAGTTTTGTGCCTCGGTTGCTAAAATAACTTCACCAGCTTTTGAGTGTTACAAATCAAGGCTTGGGCAGGGATGGTGGAGCTGGGAGGGGCCCCATTCGCTGCTCTGCAACCACACATCAAAACAAAAGACTGATGAGGGAATATTATCACAGTTGGCTATAGTTGTTTTCTTGTCACTATGCACACTCTAATATATACTTGCTTTTCGTTTCCAGCTAAAATTGATCCACCCGCATTTGCCTTGTCTTCTGCTGAAAAATCTATTTCAGTCATTGTGGCTGCACCTAAGACATGGAGCAGAAACTCCAGAAATGAGCCTAATTATCTGCATGAAATATATCCCATCCTACAATATAACGTATCTGTATACAACACTAAAAAAAAGACACAGGTAAAACTTGATTAGAAAGGGGTATTAAGCAATTTAAATCGGTTCTGGATTAATTGGAGACGGTCATGTTATTAGGATGTTGAGAAGGGGCAGTTGTCTGCTTTGCAGATATGTATGTGGATGGATGATGAAGACGAAGGACAGTTCTTGGGAGCACAGCATAATGGGGAGTGTGAGCAATGAGGGTGAAAATAACATGGTGCTTAGTCATGTAAATGACTTTCCCCTGATAACAACAACAGAAAACCACTAGACGCGCAAGACACTTGTGGGAGGTTGCAAATCTGGAGCAGAAGATTATATGTGGGGAAGGGATATTTAACGCTTTCCCTGTGCGCCAGTGTCTTGCCCTCTGCCTTTAAAACCTTTCCCTCACCCAGAATGCTTTTTGTCCCAGCAAGAGGAAGAGCCAGGAACTAGCTGTGGCAAAGAAAGAAATGCCAACCTGGGAACCCAGGGCTTGGTGCCATGTCCAAGCAGATGCCTGCGATCTCATCTCAATTACCTGAACTATGTGATGACTGTGGTGGCTGGGAAGAAAGTGAAGATGTGGGGTGAAAGAAAGCCAGCAGTAGAGACCGAAATCAAAAGCTAAGAAAGGAGAGAGATCCTGTTCTTTAGCTGTCATCTCTATACTGATGGCACTCTATTTTTTAGCTAGCTCACTTAATCTCAAAATATAGGCCTGCTTTCTCCTTATATATAGGATTAAGGCAGGGGTTGGCAACCTAAGGCCCATGGGCCACAAGCAGCCCATGGGGGTTGTTGAACCAGCCCATGGACTCCCACCACCTGCTTGGGGACCCCTGCCACCCGCTCAGTTGGCTCCCATGCGCCGTGCTAAACTGGCACGGAGCAGAGCGGGGACCTCCTTCCGCGACGCTGGCTGGCTTTCCAGCTCCTGCAGCCAATGGGAAGTTGTGCATGCCTCCTCTGCGCTGGAAGGAGCTCCCGAAATAGTGTGTGTGCATGTGTGCATGTGTGTGCACTCCGGCCCACCACGGCGTCTGCGGGACCGTGAACTGGCCCAAGCCACAAAAACGTTGCCGACCCCTGGATTAAGGTATAACAATCTGAACGGAGACGCACGTTTTTCTCCACTCTCTGGTGGTTGGTTCATAGATGAAACCATAGGTAGAATGTTCCTGTGTTTCTGTGATTCTCCAATATATTGTTGTATAGTTAAGTTCTGAAGTGTGACAATGCCTTCTTTCCCCTAGTGGATGTTCTGTATTAAAAGCAACAGACTTGATGTGTTCCATTTAGAGTCGAATACAGTGTACTGTGTCACAGTGCAGGTATATATTACTCCACTCCTGTTCAGTGGACTCTCCAAAGATTGCATTGCTACTTTGAAAGGTAAGCAAAGAACTATAAAACACATCTCCAATACAGGATGCAAATTTGTTGCTTTAATATCAAATAATTCTAAAAATAGATAAAAGCAATTGAGAAATCCTTTTTTGTACAAGTCATGACAAGATCCTCTTGGCTTTACAAAGGTATACAACCTTGTTTCTTAGTGAAGCTTCTTTCTAAATAACAGTCAGCTGAGGACAAACCATATCTCCAGGCAACCCTAATTGCTGGATCTGTGCCTTAACTATAGGCTAAGAGCTATTACCTTCTCCCTTGAAGTTCTAATAGCTCATTAAAGAGCCCATGGATCTATAGAGACACCTAGCCACTCAAATGAGGCAAAGGATCATCCAAACCTGTCCAACTGGCGAACCACAGTGAACGATCACCTAGATTAGTGCAAAACAAGTGCTGGAACTGCAGGAGTGGCCCTGATGTGGGCGAAGAGGGGGGGGGAATCATTGCTCAGAAGCATAGATCATGCCCAGGTAGCAACTGCTGCCACCCCCATTGCAAGAATTTTCAAAGGAACAATACTGTATCATTCTCATTGAGCATTCTTTTACAAGAAAGCTATAGGACTACCACAGGCCATCAAACCACTTCAAGTAGTGGCAGTGTGTGTGGGATTCTTTTTTAAGAAAAACCATCCATAGCCATTTCTATAATGTAAGACACAAAAAAGTCATGGAATAGCCCTCTCCCCCACATGCACAGCGGATGAATGAGCCTGCAAAAGTATGAAGGGGAGGATATTTGACCAGTTTTTTTCCAAAACCCCAGGGAGCCACTACTAGTAAGCCTTGACAACACTGAGCTGGATGAGCCACTTGTCTGATTTGGTATAAGGCAGCTTCCTTTGTTCATATATGTTCCACGTTTATAGAGTTTTCCTTGGTTTATAAAAGTACTCTTTTCAATGTCAGAAGACCTGGAAGCACCTCTGCCATCTTTCTCTCTCTTATATGATGATAAGGGGGAAACCTGCAGGCAATATCCTCATCCAGCCCCAACCCACCCCCAAAAAACTGCTAAGGCAGAGATCTTGCAGTGTTCTGTCCAATTACTGCAAAGGTTACATAATGGCTTGCTTTGAATTGTGTCACCCTGACTAGCTTGTCCTTTAGGTTTTGCTTTTCCCACCCTGATTTACAAGGACTCTCCAATGTTCTGTCACCATCACCGCAACATTTCTGGCTATTGGCCTGCTTAGGGGAAGCATCTTTGAGCCGTGTTCATTTCCCCATCCATTCCCTCTCAACCTGTAAATTACCCGCAATAGCCTAGTGCTCCATCCTCCAAAAAATTACTGGTCTCCACTTTCCACTCTTCAGTGAAGGAAAATCAAAAGTTATATATTGCCTGCTGCAACCGTTTCAGGTTAGAGTTGCAGAAATAGGCCCTCTTTTTACTGCTTGCCATTTTCAGCACTGCCGTATTAAGTGGCTGCCTTTGGTTCCATTCGAATCTGAAGAGCATAATTTTGAATCTTTTATTAGAAACCAGCAAGTCAGCCCTTTTTAGTCCCTGTTAGCAATCTGTGTATCCCTAATAATTGGGGGAAATTAGGCAAAGAAGAATCTGCTGGCAAGGACCTCAATAACTTGCTAGGGAAGAACAGCCTAAATATAGAGTTTAAAAGAACCTAGCCCAGCTGCTCTACGAGTAAAAAGTTACAGAGTACATGTATTTTACCGCATACATACGACTTTTGAAAGGGATAATATTTCCCAAATGCTGTATTATAAGTGAAGAAATTGGAAGAAAGAATGGTGTCAAAGTGCTTTTATTGAAGCTACAGGCAACATTTCTTCCTTTCTGGCTGGCTTTCATAATTTTCACTGTTGTTCAAAAATCTTACAACAATTTATAATACTAAAATTGTTGAAATCTCAACCACTTGTGAAATACTGTTGAGTTGTGGCATGTATTTTTTAATGTTTTGTATTAATAATTGATATCGTTTTTATTGTTGTCTTCTTTTTTAATGGAGCCTATTTAGACTTCCATATCCAATTACCAGTAATAAATGCTGATGACTGCTGGATATTTGGAAAAATGAACAGCATCTAATGCACATATTTCTCCACAGATTCTGCTTTCAAGGAGGCTGTGACAATCTTACTCGGATATATTTTGCCTGTCCTTCTAACAGTCCTTATTATTTTGGTGTCATGCTGTTGTGTATATAGGTACATTCATATCACAAAGCAAAAGTACCCTACAAACCTGGTAAGGGTTCTTTATTATCCTTGCAGTATGTAATGTATCATATGGTTAAGGCCCAGTCCAAACGCTTAAAAACTCCCCGTGAGAAAATATTTATTAATTAATATTAATCAGCCAAAGGCCTGGTTGAAGAGGAACATTTTCGCCTGGGGCTCGGTTACTTGGATTGGGGTCGAGAAACTGGGGCAAAGAGTTGGAACCCACCTCCCCCCATCATCTTGCCCCCACTCCATATTGGGGGCGGGGGCTGCAACTGCTTTTTCCAAAAGCCCAAGACATTCCCCATGTTATTGCTACATCATATTTAGTATGAAGCCATATTAATTAGTCTGGCTTCTTTTCCAAGACATAAAAGAAAAGGCAAATGCTGGCTCTCAGACATAGGGTTGCTGAGAGCCTTTTTAAGTGGAGATGTCAGAGCCTAAACTATACTTTGTATAAGCAAGGTAAGTGCTACGCTACTGAGCTGTGGCCCTTCCCCCATGACACTCTTGATCTCAGGGTCGTGGGTTTGAGCCCCACATTGGGCAAAAGATTCCTGCATCCTAGAGGGTAGGACTAGATGACCCTTGGTGTACCTTCCAACTCTACAATTCTATTATATTGTTATTCACCCACCCACCCAATGTGTGTGTGTGCTGCATTTTCTTATTTCACCTAATAGGCTAATGTTTAGTAGTCTTCCACAAACTTGCTGATAAGCATCAAACAGAAAATTATTCTGAAGAATCTTTGCCTTAAGCAAGGACTAAAGTATTCTCGGGCAATAAGCACTGAGAAGCCAGCAGCAAGGCTATATTTGCACATAAAGATGCATTAAAAAAGAAATCAATGACCACAAATTATGAATGGATGAATTAATTGCTGAGAAAAATAAGAAATTAAGAAATGTAGAAGCACTGAACTGGATCTACATTGTCCCCAGCTATTCCAGCCCTTGTAATTTGGAACACATTTATCCAGCAATCTACCTGTACCTGGCCTTAGTGTCTGCCATTTAAAATGCACTACAATCTTCTTTACTTAAACATTTTTCCAACTTGCAGCCAAGCATAGGAACCAGTCCGTTCAATTAAAAATCTACAAATGTAATTCACTGCTTTTTGTCTACAAAAGAGGATAAAAGTAATGGGCCCTGACAATTGTTTTCCTTTTAATTGTTTTCCTTGTTGAACATAATTGGAAGACTACTGCCACTATTTATACATTATATTAGAAGGATGGTCCTGTGGGGAAGGGCTGCAACTTGGTGGCAGAGTATGTGCAAAGGGTCCCAAATTTGATCCCTGTTATCTCCAGGTAGCGATGGGAAAGGCTACCATCCGAAAACCTGGAGAGCAACTACTTGTCAGTATAAACAATACTGAGCTGATGGCACCAGTGGTCTGTCTCAGCAAAAGGCGGCTTCCTAACATTCCTAGCTATTGTTTGTGCAGCAAAATAACAATAATAGAGATCAGTTCTTTTTGGGGGGGGACACAGGGGTACACATACCCCTAAACATTCTGTGACCCTAAGTTTGGCCTCATTGAGGGGCAGTATTTCAATACGAGTAGGAAAATGAGAGTACATTTTTTTTTAGAAAGAAAGCACTGATATAGTCTTGACTTGTTCCAGAAATTGGTTGAAAGGAAAGGAAAGGCAGTATTATGCAATACTCCCCAATCTGCAGAATAGTTGCGGTGTGAAAGCGTATAAATTTTATACATAGACCTAATCCAGCTAACATTCAGGACTAAATTCAAGTAAAAGCAGTGAGACTTTGAGAGCAATCCAATGCACACACCCTTATGCCATGCTGAAGGGAGGACATCATATTAGCTGGAGGCGCACTTCCACACAGCTCTCCTGGAAGAGCCATTCAACACAGTTCTCCCCTTGCCACCCGCCAAACAGTTGCCAGCATCAGGCCCAGAAATAGAGTGTTCCAAGTGCAGAGAGGCAGTGGGGCTGAACTAGGCCAGAATTCATTGATTCTGAGCTTGTCTGGATGGGAAACATTGAGATGAGTTCAACTTGGAATGCTAATGTATAGACAAATGTAGAAGACTGCCCATGGGATAATCAGATCTCTACAACCCACATGCACATTAACACATTGGTGTGTGTACAACCTTAGTAAGTAATTAACTTTAGCTGGGTTGGGGCTTTAACTTAAAAGTAGAGACTGCAATTAATGGATCTCTCAGTTTTCTTTTTTAAATTACAGCTTCCTTTTTTCCCCCTCCCCAGGTTTTGAAGTATAGTGACAAATGTGAGAGAGGCAATTTGCTTCCTTCTGAAAAAACTGTGATTAACTTCATTACTATTAATATCACTGAGGAGCAGAAGACCTCTCTGGAGGACACTCGTTTACTAGGCAGTGCCCACAGCAGAGATGGATGTTGTGATGGAAACAGTGTTGAGGGAAAAGCTTCAGAAGTGCAACTAGCACAACAGGATTCTCAAGACGCTTGCCTAAATGAGGAAGTTATGTTTGAAAATGAGCAGGATGAGAAGAAGCTACCCATGATGAAGCTTGTATCTCAAAGGGCTTCAGGTGAGAAGCACGAGGATGAAGTTGTGGTCTATGAATTTGACTTGAGGGCTGAAGATACAACTCTGGTTCAAGAGAAGCTGAGCTTAAAAGCTGGTATTTGTGCACTAGAGGGACTGCTTCACAAACTGCAAAAAGTACCTCCAGATTTAATAACTGATGGAACAGAACAGGCCTACTGTCCCCAGTTTGGTGTGGGAGCTCCAGGTATCCGTTCAGGAGAGCAACCAAGAGAGACCCTTTCGAATAAGATGGGCTCTGGACATAATGGCCTCCAAGCTCCTTCACAAAATTTGGTTCCCAATAAACCAGGCCAAACTTTTTGTCCTCAATGCAGTGTGGTGGCAGATACTTGTTTGGCACATAATCAAAAAGAGACCTTCTTCGATGAGAAAAGAGCTGCACTTGAAAAACCACAAACTTTTGCAAACGTAGTGACGAGAAGTGCAACATCAAAGCATCAGACATGGGCCACCCAGGACCAGGAGGCAGCAAAGAAAGCAAAAGTGGAAGATGAGCAGAGCATAATAATAGATTGGGACCCCCATACTGGAATACTTAATATACCCTTGTCTAATTTAATAAGTGATGAAATAATTGAGAATGTAAAGTATGAAGATTCTCTGGAGGAGGGACTTCTGTCCAGAGTTTATGAGAGACAGTGCTCTGCTGAGCTGTTAGAGAGAGATGAAGAAAGGTATCTCCTGCACCTTAAAGAACAATGGGGACTGCATATACAAATGCAAACCTAACTTTCTTTCCCGTCATGATTTAATTTACTACTAAGTAGAATGATTTTAATAGTTAAGATTAATTGCTTACAGTATGAAGCTGGTGACCATCAAACCATCAATGACTATCAAAGGCCATTGGTTTTAATTATTGGTGAACTCCAACAAAGTAATCTGCTTTTATTCATTCAGTAGTCTTGCACCAATGCATGTATTTGTTGAGAATTGCATTGATTCAAACCAATATCTATATATATTTTTAAAAAACCAACACCAGTTAAACGTATACGATAAGGGCATAGAGTACATGCTTGTCAATTTCAGTACTAACTTTAGATGGAAGACACTTGCTAGACTTTGAAAAGAAATTTTCAGAAAACCATTCAGCTTTGAGATGATCTGTTTGCCTCAGATATGATATTGTCCTAGGGTAGTGGGGTAGTAGCTAGAGTTGAACCAAGTGATAGTGTCAGTTAGATGTAAATCAGCAAATAAAAATCCTGGGGGCAGGCATTGCTTGGCAGAGAGCAACTAACAGCCCCTGTGACTACCAGACATGACTGCTATATGCTATCTCCAGGATCAAAAGCAGCATACTTCTAAATACTAGTTTCAGTGAAACAAATGGAGAGGGTGGCTTGTCCTGTTTGCGGGCTTCCCATTGGCATCTGGTTGGCCCCACTGTCTCTGATCCTTTGGTCTGATATAACAGGATTCTTGTAGCTTGGCTCCCAGTCTCCTCTGCTTCTTGGCTACTGCATTCGTGCAACATTGTGACTAGTGTATGCTGGGAATAGCACATATAGGAAACAAAGGGGGAAACCCCATAGGCCCTGTTATGTCTCAGGTATGTGAAAATACACCTCCAGTCTTTGGAAACAGAAGTCTATTAAGCCTTTATAAGATATGGGAGGTTAGCTGTGATCAGTTAATAGACAGAAAAAGCAGAGAACTTCAGCCAATGAAAATAGTATTTTGTCATTTTTGCCCCATGCCTTTTGCACACAGTATAGCTCTGAAGCAATTAATCACATAAAATATATCACTTTTCCATTTCTGCATCAACACAGTATGAGTAAATCAATGTTGACACTTTCAACATCCTGGAGGAAGTCACCTCTATTAGCCTAAAGCATTCTGATCACCTTAAAGTAATCAGGCCTGACACTTCCATCCAACCTGAGGAATTGGCAGCCGTCGGAACCTCTCCATAGGAAAGCATAGTTGCATCCAATATTTTGAACAATTTTGAATAATCAATTACATGGACAATTCAAGCTAACAGAAGAATTCACTAGCTTGAGTTTGAGAGTTTGGTTACAGCATGTTGGTAAATTACATGTAATTGGCTGTGTGAACACATGTAGGAAGAATGACTGCATATTGTACATGCTGCTGGCTTTTGAAATTATATTGTTGGCATTTAGTGTTAGTGCCATAGCTTTACCTTTTCCTATTTATGTTTTAAAGATAACAGCTGAACAGGAGCATCTTGTATGAACAAACAGATGTGTCTGAGGCACGTCTGGCAAAGCTGCTTAAAACTTCTCCAAGCACTCAAACACTTCTCTACTCAGCTTTCGCAAATGTGAATTGTAAGGTTATGAAGGAAAAATAATGTGGGACATAAGAAAGCCAGCTCATACATACATGTACACCACTTGATTCGTTTGTCATTTGATGGCTCATGTTAATACATGAAAAGGTATTTGTGTCTGATGTGACACAGCAGTTCTTATAGTGACTCATTTCCACTAGTCACCTTTTGGTGCTGTATTCATCAAGTGATGGTTGTGTATGTGGTGCCAAGGTTTAGGGAAAGCTATCTAGAGGCATGAAGGTGAAATTATCTGTTAATATGCAGTATTAAATTCTAGAGATCTGGAGTGGGGAACCTCATAAAAGGTAAAGGTAAAGGTACCCCTGCCCGTACGGGCCAGTCTTGCCAGACTCTAGGGTTGTGCGCTCATCTCACTCTATAGGCCGGGAGCCAGCGCTGTCCGCAGACACTTCCGGGTCACGTGGCCAGCGTGACAAGCTGCATCTGGTGAGCCAGCGCAGCACACGGAACGCTGTTTACCTTCCCGCTGGTAAGCGGTCCCTATTTATCTACTTGCACCAGAAGGTGCTTTCGAACTGCTAGGTTGGCAGGCGCTGGGACCGAACGACGGGAGCGCACCCCGCCACGGGGATTCGAACCACCAACCTTTCGAACGGCAAGTCCTAGGCGCTGAGGCTTTAACCCACAGCGCCACCCACGTCCCTCAGGGGAACCTCATACCTAGGGCCAAATGCAGCCCCAGAGGCTTCTCTGGGCCTTCAGACTTTCCCCCGCCAGCCCAGCTCTGCTTTGTACCCTTCTTGAGTGTTTTTGGCTGGCTGGCATGTGCCCATGGATTCTGATAATGCTTCTTGCTGGCCTTAATGGAGGATAGGGTGAGTGTGTTGGTAAAACCTTCAAAGGCAAAGGGGCTACGCCTCTACATCCTACTGGACAAAGGGTGCTTATACTGTAAATCTAAAAAATAAAGAAAGTTACTGCTTCACAGTCTTATAAAGCAGAAACAGGGGCAGGATAGACTTCAGTCCTCTCACCATCTACAGCTACCTCTCCCTCCTGCTAGCCTTGCACCTGCTGAGCCTCTTGCCATTAGGCAAGCCTTCCGCTAATTCACCTGTGGTCTTTTAAACTGTTGGGAGTATTGTTTTTATTATTATGGTATGCATTTTTGTGTTTTTATATTGTCAACCGCATCTTTGGATGAAGGTCTGTATAGAAGTTTAATAAATGATGATGATGATGATGATAATAAGCACCAAGACATTCAAGAAATTTGTGGTAAAAAGGAAACGTTGTTTTGAAAGTTGTTTACATCCATGGCTAGCTTTGATACCATTTAATTATAACAATTTTCTGATTAGTCATATGAGCATCTGCAAATGCCAACATTATTAAAGGAACACAGGAAAGGGTAGGAATATTTGATATGGGAGCGTGGGAAAATGATATCTCTTTCAAATACCGTACTTCATCAGCTCCAGATAATGTGCCAAGAATTTTGAGCTGTGTTTCTTGATACACCCATGATTCAAAAGTCACATAATTTTAATGCTGCCAGATCCCCAGAGCTTTGTCTATTATGATGATACAATTCTTGGTAAGTTAGTAGTTTCTTTTTAAACTGCCCTTTTTCTTTTATTATGTTTGTGAGCTGCTTTGGGAGGTCCATATAGGGCTGTGTGTGTATGTGTGTGTGTGTGTGTGTGTGTGTGTGTGTGCGCACGCGCACGCACACACACACACACACAAGTTAAGTACTGTATTGGGGTAAAAAAACCCCAACCCTGTCAGCTCAGTTACTTACTGCTTAGTTCATAAGAAATACAGAAGACAGGGCTCAAAGATACTAGAACTGAATCAACTTGACTGTACTTCTATGCATTGGATTACTCCCATAAGGTTTGCTGCATTATTCCAAAAGTTCTAACACAACGGTACATCAAGTCTCCTGTCTCCTTGTTCACAGAACATATGAAAACATTGTAGCTAAAATTTTATCCAGATCGTAAAAGCATGATCCAAGTGCATTTTATTCTTTACCAAACATTCCAGATGGCACCAACCCAACCATTTGCACTGCATCTAGTTCTCACGTAGTGGAAGAGAGCATCTTACACAGGTTACAGATTCTTGATAATGGGGAGATGGCACATTTGCTGCTTTATAAGAGGAAGAGAGGTGTGCCGTGAAATGGTGAGGCATTGGTTGGGACATATAAGCTGCTAGTTATGTTTTGTTTTACAGGGCTAATGAACACTTCTGTGCTTCGCTTATTAAGGGGGAAAGGGCCCATCCAGCAAATTTAGAACAGAAGTATAATAACTATTTTGCAACAAGAAGTATAATAAGATGTCATTGTATTTTGTACAGGAGAATGTATTCACTTGTTCATCATTGGCATCTACAGGCAGTTTCCAGTAGGCGCCTGAGACACTCAGGAAACCGCTACACACACGACAACCTCTTTAGAGACAAACAGTAGTGGTAGCCACAGAAATGGAATAACATGTCCTCAGCAAGCACATATTGTGGTTTCTTAGCTGGTAAAGTGAGATGCCTCTGTACTGCAGAAGTACTGCCTGGAGAGAATACGGCTGGAGGACTTCCTGAGTGACCCTCGCTAATGTTAGGAAGCGGGCAATTTGCATACAAGCCTGCAGCTCTCACATGCAATCCTGGCACTGTATTATTTGGGGATAATACAGACACCAGAGATAATAAGCACATTTATTATATCAAGAGTGGAATGAGCTTACTAAAGACATTCAAGAGAATCTGCATACAGGACACTAATAACAGGCTAAATATTAAAAACCTTAAGATTTAATTCTTATAGCATGCATGGGGATGCATAGGAAAACTAGAATGCAGTAAAAGTGGTGAGGGGAAGGGTATGAGAAAGAGCTTGTTCACATTTGAGCATTATTTAGCCGTTAATCTGCTTTCCCCCCATTTGGATTAGAATGGAGTAGGCCATATCCATACATATTTGAATTTGTATTTAAGAACCACTTCCATCTTTCCCATTCATACCACTAGGCATTCCCTTTATCTCCCCCCCCCCGACTTCTAATTGGTTGGTTTTATTGTGCCAGTTATGTACTGGCAGGGCATGGGCACAGATAGCTGTAAAAATTTCCTGTCCAAGGAAATTTGGACATTGCACTCAGGCAATTGTAAATTTGCTTGTACAGTTTTGTGCAATTCTGAGGGATCAAAAGAAGAAAAAGATTCCTCTGTTCAGGAGTGTACCTGAAATAGTTACGAATACAAATGGAAAAGAAGTGGTACTTGGGGAAGTAGGTAAGGTAAAGGTAAAGGACCCCTGGATGGTTAAGTCCAGTCAAAGGCAATTATGGTGTGTGGTGCTCATCTCACTTCAGGCTGAGGGAGCTAGCATTTGTCAACAGACAGCTTTCCAGGTCATGTGGCCAGCAGGACTGAACCGCTTCTGGCACAACAGAACACCGTTATGGAAGCCAGAGCACACAGAAATGCCGTTTACCTTCCCGCTGCAGCGGTACCTATTTATCTATTTGCACTGATGTGCTTTTCAGCTGCTAGGTTGGCAGAAGCTGGGACAGAACAACGGGAGCTCATCCCATCGCAGGGATTCAAACTGCCAACCTTCTGATCATCCAGCCCAAAAGGCTCAGTGGTTTAGACTACAGCGCCACCCGCTCCCTACTTGGGGAAGTAGTGGGTATGGAAAGGAGAGTACAGTGGTACCTCTAGTTACGAACTTAATTTGTTCTGGAGGTTCGTTTTGAACCTGAAATTGTTCTTAACCAGAGGCGTGCTTTCGCTAATGGGGCCTCTTGCTGCCGCTGTGCCACTGGCACATATTTCCGTTCTCATCCTGGGGCAAAGTTCTCAACTCGAGGTAACTCTTCCAGGTTAGCGGAGTTTGTAACCTGTGGCGTTTGTAACTCGAGGTACCACTGTAATTGCAATAGACCACATATTTGGAATAATTTGTTTTATGTAATGGACAGATGGAAAATTGGAAGACCTTTTAATTTTTCCTCTTCTCTTTTATCTTTTTAGTTTCTTTATTTATTTAGTTTCCCTTTGTTTTCTCTTTCTATGTTTTTGTTTTTGTTTAGATTGGTTTCTTTTATCTTATTGTATTATGAAATTTTTTAAATAAAATCTTATTTTAAAAAAGAAAAGGAAAGAGAGTAGCAATAGATCACAGTATCAAATCATTTGCAACCCCAAGCAGAGCAGTTTGGAGCCCAGTTTTTGAGGTTTGAGAATGAGACAGCCACACATGGAAGAGCAAAGAGAAAACATGGAATAGGTAGGTCTTCCAAAAAAAAAAAAAGGTACCTCATCAGGTTGATTGGGAAAGGGAAGGGAGAATGATGGTTTGGCTAGCTGATGGGCTTGAGCAAGAGTTTAATGTGTTTCCTTTTTCTGTGAGGCTGGGGCTTGGTGGAGGTGAAAGTACTTCTTCAGCAGCAGAAATTAATACAGAGAGGAAAAGAAGAACAGGAGGGGGGAGTCCACCAGAAATGTTATTGTGAGGAATGTGTATACCTGAAGGAGTGTCTCCACCCACCCCCCATCATTCAGCCCAGACATTGAGGTCCAGCGCGGAGGGCCTTCTGGCGGTTCCCTCACTGCAGGAAGTGAGGTTACAGGGAATCAGGCAGAGGGCCTTCTTGGTAGTGGGGCCCACCCTGTGGAACGCCCTCCTGTCAGATGTCAAGGAACAACTGACATTTAGAAGACATCTGAAGGCAGCCCTGTTTAGGGAAGTTTTTTAATGTTTGATGTTTTATGGCATTTTCAATATTGTGTTGGAAGCTGCATAGAGTGGCTGGGGAAACCCAACCAGATGGGTGGGTTATAAATGAATGAATGAATGATGATGATGATGATGATGATGAGTGAGGCCTCTTTGTGGGGTTCCAAAGATTCCTAACAGCTAAGGTGAAAAAGATACTTTATACGCTTAACGTGAGCTTGAAGATAAACAAAAAAAGACAGAAAATTATGCGTAGTGAATGGGTATTGCATGTTTATAGAACCATAGAATTGTAGAGTTGGGAGTAGGGTCATGTAATGGTGACATATTCGTCACTGCTATCTTTTCCTTTCAGGGAAGAAACTGGAATGACCAGACCTGGGATCCTCAGAGTGAGTCGAATGCTATACATGCCATTTTTGCCAAGGAGAAGACCCCCCTCTCCCAGGGCTCTGCTATGACCAGGGAAGCAGCAGTCACTTCTGCTGCCCCAAAGTGAGTTGCTGGGTGTTTGGAGGGGGAGGTTGGCATTTTGCAAACACCTTGCAAGCTTTTTGCAAGTGTTCAAATCAAGCATTAATAAATACTAATCTGCAGCTTAGCAGAGGGGAGAAAGTTCCTGATATGTCATTTCAGTCCTTTCC